GGGGTTGGTGACACTCTGGGGACAGTTGGGTGACATTCTGAGGACATTAGGGACACTCACTCACCAGGGAGATGCCGAGGCTCCACACGTCTGCCCGGATGTCGTAGTCAGGCTTGGTGGGGTCAGGGGGGTCAATGCGCTCGGGCTGCGTGGGAGGGATGGAATTGGGGGGCACCGGGAGGGGGGTACAGACCCTAAGGCTGGGGGGTCCCCAAAACCCCCTAACCTGGGGGGGATCCCAAACAGCCCCATCCCCAAACCTGGGCTGCAGCCCCCCAAACCTGGGAACCCAAACAGCCCCGATACCCCCAAAACACCCCACTCTGGGGCTGGGGGATGTCCCTAATCCCATGTCCCCAGTGTCCCCTCACTCCCATGTAGGCTGCACAGCCTGCACTCCAGGGGATGTCCCGATGTCCCCTCACCGCCATGTAGGCCGCACAGCCTGCACTCCGGGTCTTGGCCTTGGAGTCCACGAGGCGGCCGCTGATGCCAAAGTCGCAGAGCTTGACTTGGCCCCGCTCATCCAGCAGGATGTTGGAGGGTTTGACATCCCTGTGGATCACCCCGTGCTTCTCCTTCAGGTACAGCAGCGCCTTCACAATCTGTGAATGGGACAAGGACATCACTGTTCCCAGTGTCACCTCTGCATCACCATCACCCTGCTCACTGCCATGTCACCCTGCCCAGGACATCCACTGTCCCCAGTGTCCCCCTGTGGGTCACCCTGTGCTTCTCCTTCAAGTACAGTAGCACCTTCCCCATCTGCGAGAACCAGCAGTGACAGTCCCCAGCGTTCCCCCGGTGCCACCCACACTGCTCACTGTCACTGTCACCCTGTTTAGGATGCACTTGGGAATGGGGCACTGGATCCTGGGGACCCCCTGCCTGTCCCCGGCATCCCCCCCTGTCCCCAATAACACTCACTGCCACTGTCATCTTGCCCAGGATGCGCTCAGGGATGGGGCCCTGGATTCGCTTCTTGAGCTTTTCTGCACAGGTGCCCATGAGCTCCATGGCGATGAACACGTCCGTCTGGGGGACAAAGGGGATGAACTGGCAGCACTGGGAGCAGTACTGGGAGCACTGAGTGATACTGGGAGTGGTACTGGGAGCAATACTGGGAGCACTAGGAGCACTGGGATGTACTGGGAGCACTGCGATACACTGGGAGCACTAAGCTCCATGGTGATTAACATGTCAGTCTGGGGGAAAGGGGTTACTGGGGCGACTGGGAGCACTGGGGGCAGTACTGAGGGGAGCCCTTGGATGGATCCAGACCCTCCAGCCCTCCAGGTGCCTACGTTGGTGATGAAGGTGCCGAAGCACTGCACGATGTAGGGGCAGTCATGGCTCTTGAGCACCACGTCCAGGTCCATCAGGATCCGCTTGTTCTCCTCACGGTTCCCCGAGCGCCGCATTTGCTGGGGGGGCCCACAGGTGTCATGGGGGGATCACAGGGGTCACCCCGATGTCCCCAAGCATGGGGACACAAGCGCTCCCACCTTGACGGCAATGACATGGCCAGTCTTGCGGAATCGCATCTTCCACACCTGCCCGCAGGTGCCGCTGCCGATCTCGCCCAGGTTCTCCAGGTCATTGATCTCTGCCTGGTACCGCTGTGGGGCAGGGGAGGAAATGGGGGAGTCACCTGGGATACCCCTGGACTCACCTGGGCCCCCATAACCAGGTAACACCTCCCATCCTCACCTGTGCCCCCCGCAGCCAGGTAACCCCTCCACAGCCAAATAACCCCCTCACAAATAACCCCCTCCTGTCCCCCTGCCACATTCTCAACTGTGCCCCCCACAGCCAGGTAATCCCCCCATCTCACCTGTCCCCCTACGGTCAGGTACCCCGTCTGTTTCATGATCTCTTGCAGCTTCTGGTCGATCTCGATGCTGGAGGGGCAACGGGAAAGCTCAGCCAATCAACTCAGGGCATTTCAGCAACCAAGATCCTCTAAACCATCAACCAATCAGCAGCTGCAGGATCTGCTGCAGCCAATCAGTGCAAGAGATCACCCCAAAGCACTGGTCAATGAGAACACAACACTACCCAGACCTCCAGCCAATCAGGGAACAAGATCCCCCAAACCTTTGGCCAATCAGCTGCTAGGCCTCCCCCATCAGCCAATCAGGATTCAGGAGCACATCCTCACCTCTCCAGGCTGCGCGGCACCAGGAAGGGGGGCGGGGGCAGTCCCAGCATCTGCCGGGGTCTGGGAGGGGGCGCAGGCTGGGGGCTCTCGGGGGGCCCCCCCCGGACCCCCTCACTCACCAGAGGCAGCTGCAGGGCTGGAGGGGAGAGCAGAGTCAGGGACCCCAAAAATGGACAGAGACCCCCAAAATAGGGAGAGAACCCCAGAAATGGAAGAAAAAGAATGTCAGAGACCCCCAAAATAGGGAGAGAACCTCAAAAATTGGGAGAGAACCACAAAAATGGGGACCCCAAAAAAAGGGGAGAGACCTCCAAACCTGGGGAGAGACAGAATCCCAAAAACGGGCAGAGAACTCCAAAAATGGAGAGAATCAAAAAATGAGGGAGAGAATCACATAAAACAGGAAGAGAACGCTAAAAATAGAGACAGAAGCATCAGGGACACCAAAAATGGCGAGAGAAACAGCAAGAACCCCAAAATCTGGGGTGGGAGGAGAGAGAAACCAACCAGGAATCTCAAAATTGAGGTGAGGGGACAAAAAAAAAAACCAGTCAGGAACCCCAAAATTGGGGTGTGGGGGCAAAAGAAAAGTCAGGAAGCCCAAAACTGAAGAGACTTGTAAGGAACATAAAAATGGGGAACAGACATGTCAGGAACCCCAAAAAACAAGGGGAAAACCATCAGGACCCAAAAAACAGACAACAGACTTGTCAAGACCCCAAAATTGGGGGAGAAAGATTGGAACCCCATAAATGGGGGGGGCAGGGGGGAATCAGCACAGTGAGCCCCTACCAGCCCCC